ATAATATTTTCAATTACATTATTATAAAAATAATTACTATTGAAAAATAATGTTTTAGAAACTGAAATTTAAGAAAGAAATATTTTTTAAGAGATATCAATACACCAAATAAGAGTTCAAGTAGTAGTAAAAGAGTTAAGTCTTATCCAAAGAGTCATTTATTGTCTCAACATTTGATTGTTTCGCCATAAATATGAGTTATTATTTTACTTCCTAACTATTTTTAGGATCCAATGACATCGGCAAGAATGGTATCATCAAAAAAGAAAAATAGAAGAAATGGTTAATTTTTTTCATGTAGTTAATATCCAATGATTATCTATATTTACTGAGAAAGTGTAAATTTTAAGATTATTTACATACAATTTAAATAACTTAAATATTTGACATGATTAGTGTCCGCGCATCCACGCACGCAGGTACTAATACTAGTATATATAAATGAGGGACTTGGAGAAGTGAGGTGGCAGTCTCAGAGTATAGTAAATCTATTTTCCTATTTTCTCAGATTTTTGCCTTTTTTTCCTTGAACTAACTGATCTATTAAAACTTAAAAAGTCATGCCTCTTTCTCTTTTGCTTGAAAGTCACGCCTTTTCTCTTCCTCATACTTCTACAAAACACGTCTTTTCCAGAGTATTTTGTAGTTGCCATCCCAATTACAACTATGGAATCAATTTGCATTGACTCTTTTGCAACACTATGAATATACAGAAATGTCGTCCCTTTTCCTTCACAGCGGCATCCATCCGGCAACACCTACACAACCATACGACTTTCCAGTAACACCAGGCCATCCATACCAATTTTCTCTCCACGGTAATACCACAGTTCGTGTCTTTATGCCTATAACAATAAGCGTCAATGACAAAAATCTGACCGTTGCCGTTGCAAGATCTATGGTCAACGTCGAAAATTGACCATCATTCATACAAAGAACACAGCCTTAGAGATCGGAAAGCTTTTGAGAGAAATCCTTTGAAAGTTCCCGAGCAACGTAATTTGATAATTAGAAATCTCAAGTCTCCAGGCAAAATTAAAATTTTAACTTTTCTGACAAGTGTGAGATGGGCAGAGATGAGTATGTGGTTTAGTTTGATAGTCTTTATTTTTTTTGTGTGTATTCATGGTTTAGAACTTTAGATATGAAGAACTAACAGGCATCTTCCGTTCGAGGATCAGACTTGATGCTTAAACTAAACATGTTGGTAAATTTTCCACATAATATTTTAGATTTCTATGTTGCTCCTTTGATTTTCTTTTTATATGATGATTGTACTAATACTATCCGGATATACAATATAATTTGCTTATTTTTCATTTGGTATGCACTTCCCCGTCTCATTTTATGTGAATGTGTTCGGATTTGGAGAGTCAAACAAATTTATTTTTTGACCGCGATCATTCATATACACTTTAAATATTTTGAATTGTTAATTATTATAACATATGATACTTTTTATGTAGATTCTAAATTTTATTTTAAAAAATTTAAAGATTCTATATTCAAATTTATGGTCAAATCTAAGAAGTTTGAGTCTTGATAAACAAAAGATATCACATAAATAGGACAACCGGAGTAATATTCTCTCTCTCCAAAAAACATGATATTTTTTGAATTTCAGAGCGTCAAATGAGTTGAGCTATTTTTCATGTCATTTTAAGTATTTTAAATTATTAATTATTGTGACTTATAATACTTTTTATATAGTTTTCAAACATAGAATTTTAAAAAGCTTCACCATTCTAAACTTTAGAGATTCTATATCTCAATTTGCCGTCAAAATTAAGAAATTTGACTGTCAAAATGTAGATTATCCTTTTTGGGACAACGGAAGGAATAATCACCATTATTTTGACTTTTCTCTATTTTGAATTTCTCTGTTAGCTTAATGCTAGATTTAAAATTAGAATTGTGGTTAATTTTAATGGCATTAGTTTGTTAATATGCACATGTGTCATTCGTATTGCAATAACTGATAATAAGCACCTTTTAAGATGCAAGTTTCTTAGATGATTTGTTGAACATTTACTCCAAATCAGATAGTATATTGTTACTTATCATTTAATCACATTTTTTTTGTATTTCTCTATCCCAATGCGCCTAAAAAGTCTTGACGTTTTCAACTTTTCCTTCAACTTTGTAATTTGTTATAATAACTATAAAAATTGAAGTAAACTTCGCTTCCCTCATTTAAGGAGTTTTCAGAACAATTGGTATAATAAAACTGAATGAGTTAAATTAAAAAGGACAAGAGGAAAGATGGAGACAATAAAAGAAAGAATAAAAAATAAATATAAAAAAGTGGTTGTAAGAAGAAAAGGCAATAGAGTAGGAGTAGGCTGTAGGATTAAGAGGGAATTTTTTTTCCATCATTGAGAGGGAAATTAAAAAATAGAAAATGGTAGGAAAATGGCAATAAAAAGAATATGAAGAAGGAAAATATTAGGAAAGAAACACATAATAAAAATACAATTCAATGGACAGACTATGGGAATGCCATGACTTATTTAAATTAAAAAAAATTATACATTTTTTTTCGTGTTATTTGATGAATAGAAAAGTTTAGAGAAAAAAATATTTATTATCTTATGAACGAAGATAAAGTAACTACACAAATAAACTAATTATTTATATAATTAGACTAATATAAATATGTATTAAGCCACATATATAAGTGAAAATTTTCTATAAAAAAAGTACTTTTATATTTTGTTTTTCCCCTTTTTTATATGAAATTTTGGTAATTATTAGCAAAAGAATTTTTTGGTAATAATGAACAATGCAGGTTAATATAAACTCTAATCCTAAAAAAAATTGTGATTTAGTTAATAGATTATTGATTTTAAATGTACATACCTGAAAGACTAAATTTCTAAAAGTGTTATTTCTAAATTTATTGAGGTTTGTTCATATCGCGCGAAGCACGAAAAGTTTTACTAGTATTACATAAATTAAAATACTTGAAATTATTTTGTATTTACAATTGTTTCTGTGGCTTATAGATCAAATTAATCAACTTGGCAATCTCTTAGGTTTTTAATATAAGCTGCCTTGAGTTGTTCGATTTCAGGAATTCAGTAATAGTTATTTCTTGGCAAAAGAGGCCCAACTAGTTAGGTCCAAAGTTGGCCAGCTATGTAGCCTAGGTCTTGGGTCACAAAGGGGTAATTACTAAGGTATTTTAGGGCAGTTTAGGAATAGTAGCTAAGAAATCTTAGCTGTAATTGCCTAGGAAACTTCTAGAATTAAGATAAAGGACCAAATTAAAATAAGAAAAGGTACTAGGTCAGAATTTCTAGGTAAATAATAAAATTTCAGAAGTAAAAAGGGTATGAAAATAGAAGAAGTTTCTAGAAGAGTATACAGCTATCCGAGCTGTTGTAAAAAAGATGCTGAAAATAGAATAAAAGGGACAGCTGTACCAGGGCTGTGAAAAAAGGATAGTACTATTTTCAGACTTTAGGATAAGGAATATTCCCAAAATATACCCTCCCTAGGAAGCCTATATATGTACGTTATTTCATTCTGAAAAACACAAAATCATCAGCATTTTTCTGCACAAAAAGGGTTTTTAAAACAAAGAGAAAATTTTCCTTAAAAGTTCTCTGAAAACTTCAGTTTTTCCGGGTTGGATGTCTGAGCTGGTATTCTGATTTTGGGGAGATATTTTGAGTGTTGATTCTGGGTCTTTCTCTGGTTTGGTTTTAGTGTTGCTGTTGGGTTTTGTTGGTTGTTCTTTCTTCAAAGTTCTGATTAGTGTTCCATCCTGTTTACTGCTTGTTTTTTGCTGCTACAAGGTATTAATATCACCTCCTCTCATGTACTGTTTTGAGGTTATATAGCATCAGTGAGTTTGCAACCAATGTGTATAATGAATGAGCTTACCATGTGATACTTGGTTGTTTTAATATGAATGTAATAGATTTGTTTGCTTGAAAATGGATATCCAGTTGCTGAAATGGTCTCCTCTCTTTCTCTCTTTCTGATTGTTTATCATTTAGGTCAAAATATACTAGTTAATGAATCTCAATAAATGTTGAAACCTGCTTTTTATCTTTGATGTTTTGTATGTGAGTGGTCATAAGGCCAAGCAACCTCAGGGCTGGAGTTTGAAATGCTGACTTGTGAGAAACAACTCTATAGCTGATTTCTTGCAAGTTTGAAGCTTGGTTTGAAGGATCTGGTGGCAGTGGAAAAACCTGAAGTTAGGAGAAATTTTGCTTTTGTTTACTTTAAAAATAAATTCTTCTTTTTTTTAGATGTTAGTTATATTTAGGAGTATGCTGTAAATTCATGGACATTCAGTAGTAAAATAGACTGTTGGAGTGATTTTAAATTTTGTTTTGTTTAATTATTAGTATAGGTTCTTAGCAGTTGGACCTATTAGTAATAAACATTATTACTGCGTGATGGTTTGAACATGGCACGAATTGGCCAGACTTGCAACAAGGCCCAATATGGGACTCACTTGAGCAAGTCTGGGCCCATGTGAATGGGCCTGGACGTTAAAACCAGTAGCGTGATTTTTAATCGTGATGTTTTCCTCGAGAATCATAGTACAAATACATGTTATTATGTCTTGCGAATTCTGTGATTAATTTTCAAACTATCATTGTTGTTTGATCTTTGAATGCTGATGTTTACTTAACAACAATTGAAAATATAACTGCTGTAAATATGCAAATTTGGTTAATTCGGACGTAGATGTGGATAGGCCCAGCTAGAAAACATGTAGCAACTGGGCCCGCCTAAATATAAATCCAATATAGGCTGTTTGAATCACGCTCAACAAGAGTTTTTGGGCCTCTTCACTTCTGGGCCAAACTCTAGCCCAATGCAGTCCCAAAGTGACCGATTATCCTTAAATAAGTGAGTAATGGGTCATTGATGGCCCAAATCCCTTTTCAGCAATAATTTAATAGCCTAGCTCCTCACCCTCTTAAGCATGTCCTTGATTAAAAGATTCTCAATGAATTTCAAATTAGGATTAAAATATGAGTATCCTTAGTTTTGCTTAAGTGAAACACAAACCTTGTTAAAATAAAATTGAGGTGTGCCGTACACAAACAAAATCCATAACTTATGGCTCTCACATTAAGTATTAACTTAGAAAAACACCTTTCAAACACTTGTAGTTTGCTTTAGGCGCGTTTATAATAAAATCATCATAGTTACGGGTACGGTTCCCGTGACGTAGTTGTGATACCTAATTTCCAAATCCGGGGTTACATTTATGTGTCCCGGCCACAACTTTTAATAACTTTAAATAAATTAACCATGTTGTAGATCGTGGGTACAGTTCCCGTGACATGATTCGCAATGTGTAACAATAAATAATTAAAAGCGGTTATAAAGTTTAAAAATGCACAATAGGTTTAAAACATGTAGTAAATCAGATAATTAGGCCAATTTTAATAGTTTAAGTGATCGTGCTCGAACCACGGAATCCGGGAATGCCTAACACCTTCTCCTGGGTTAACAGAATTTCTTATCTAGAATTTCTGGTTTAGCAGACTTTTAAATAAAGTCGATTTTCCTCGATTTAGGATTTTAAAAATAAACCGGTGACTTGGGACACCATAAATTATTCCAAATGACGACTCTGAAAAATAAATAAATAATCATATTTCGAATAATGTCACTTTGATTGGAAAAACTCTCTATCCCCCTCGGGTGTAAAAAGGAGGTGTGACACTTATCTCAAATTTAATTTCGAGATTAGTTATCCCTTATCCCTTGTACCAAAAACAAGCCCTACAAATTTTAATAACTAAATAAAATCCGACACAATTTAAAGGACAACTCTGCAAAATATTACTCCAAGAATGTACGTAGTTTCACAAACCACAAGCGGGTTTTTACATTCATGTACCTTTCCCAGTTGTTTTCACCAAAATCACTTTTATGCTTCTGTATTTAGTACTAATCCAACGGACCCATTATTTGTTTAATTATGTCTTGAAAAATATAGGATCTATGTCGAATTAAGCTATTTATCTTAAACCAGTTTGGTTTAAGCAGTGGCCTCAAATTCTAGGGGTTGTATGTAAATGTTTTTTGTGCCATGATGTTTTCGAAATTTCTAATGAAAAGATGAAGCCAGTGTTAAAGAACTTTAAAGTTGTTTAACAAAAATTGGGAGATTGCTGAAGAGGAAAACAATAGGATCCTTCCCGATGCCATATGTTTGTTAATAAACTGTATTTGTAAAATAATTCTGGAAATATAAATGAACATAAACAGAAGTGAACAACGAAATAACAGAAAACCAATTCGAGCTCACTGAATTCACAGTGTTTCCTTAAAGAATTTAATCTCCTCCTAGTACCCAAGGTTATGGATTATTTCCTCTCAGGATAGAACGAATTACACACTGGTGTAGTGGTACTTCAAACCCCAGTGTTTCAGCGAACACAAAGTTCGGTAACAAATCACACTTACTATTGCTTTGTCTAATGCTAAAAGTATGCAGAATGAGGAGGAGAAACTCAAAAAATCGTAGTGAAATTCTAAGCAGAATAGTGTTGTGTTTATAGCCAAAGTTGGGCTGAAATCTGAAGAGGTGCAACTCTTCAAAATGACTGTTTCTGCAAAACGGCCACAGCATAAATGTCATTACATAAATGGCTATTTACTCAACAATAAAGAGGGAAAATTGAAGAGGGTAGTTAATTTTCTGTTACCAAAACAGAAAAACGGATTGGATTTAATATTAATAGTTAATATTAATATTCTGTTATTAAAACAAATATTTAATAACATTTCTGTTAATATTTTACTATTAACAAATAAATTTGGTCCAAAAAAGTTAATCAATCAATCATTTGACCGAATCCGAATCCGAAGCCGAGCCGAGCGAGCGACGACGACGGCGCGAGGCTTGTCTTCTTCTCAGCTTTTTAAGAGCTAGAAGAAGATCAATTGCTTATATACCCATAAAAAACCTCTTCCTCTTCTAATATGGGACAATGCTCATTTACCAAGGGGAAAACTTAAAATTTCACTCAAAAATTTCATTTCCCTCTATTTCCCATTCACCATCTTTTAAGTATTTAATATATTAATTAAATACATAAAAAAATCAACAATCCCCCTCATGAATGAGGAACGACTATATCACGGAAGTATGCATGAAAAACTGTGTGATTCGCAAGTAAGGATTAATTGCATCTGGATAAGTAGGTTTCCCTTTGAACTTTCCGTAGTGAACTTATGTCGAATATACTCGATCAATCAATAGATTTGATATCTTTGAACCGTCGAACTTTGGTGTATACCTAGACAACCACAAGTCACACAACTAACCCTTAACCGTCTTTGTTGTTGTGTTCGTTTCAGCCATGAACACCGCCTGGTTTCATAAGTGCATAGAGAACTGGCCTTACAAAGTTCTCCTTGAAGCGGCTAACACTTCATACTTACATAGGTGATTCCTAAACGTGTCATCTCGTAGATACACTATTTGATATACCCCGTATCAAAATTAGAAATCATTAAAAAACCTTAATGTTTTATCCTTGGTACTGAACATTATCTCATCACGAGAATAGACCAAAAGTTTAGTTGACAATATTGAACCGTCATTAATGACTTTGTTTGATCTCCTTGAACCTAGATCATGGGATCTACAGTCTTCTAGGTAGAATTACCGCCACTATGACTTGTTCTCAGCCACAGTCTCATTCCCCTTGATGACTTCTCAACTACCTCTCTAGTTAGGCCTTTTGTAAGTGGATCCGACATATTATCACTTGACTTTACATAGTNCAAGCTATGAACTCAACCTCCATTGTAGAGCGGACAATATAAGTTTGTTTGGATGACTTCTAAGATACCGCTCCTCCACCAATAGTGAATACATATCACTGCAGAATATTTACTGTAGTGCAAAGCAAAGCCCTGAGTATGTTCTAAATATCCCAAAACTCGTTTCATTTCCATCCAATGAGATTGGTCTAGATTGCTCGTATATCGACTCAATTTACTTATAGCACAAGCTATATCTGCTCGTGGACAATTCATGATGTACATTAAGCAACCCTAACACACGAGCATAATCCAATTGTGATATGCTTTGGCCTTTGTTCTTTGCTAATGCAAGATTCACGTCAATTGGAGTCTTTGCAACTTTAAAGCCCAAGTGCTTGAATTTTTCAAGTACTGTCTTAATATAATGAGATTGTGACAATGCCAGACCTTGAGAAGTCTTATGGATCTTAATTCCCAAAATTAAATCAGCGATTCCCAAGTCTTTTATGTCAAACTTGCTAGTTAGCATACGCTTAGTAGTATTTATGTTGGCAATGTCATTACTCATTATGAGCATACCATCCACATATAAGCAAACAATGACTATGTGATTTGGAACATTTTTAATGTACAAACATTTATCACATTCATTTATCTTAAAACCATTTGACAACATTGTTTGNTCTATTTGACAACATTATTTGGTCAAATTTCGCATGCCATTGTTTTGGTGCTTGTTTTAATCCGTAAAGGGACTTAAAATGTCTACAGACCTTCTTATCTTTACCTGGAACCACAAACTCTTCAAGTTGTTCCATGTAGATTTCTTCCTCCAACTCTCCATTTAAGAAGGCCATCTTTACATCCATTTGATGAATTTTAAGACCATAAACTGCAGCTAACGCTACTAATGTTCGTATGGACATAATTCTTGTAACTGGAGAGTATGTATCAAAATAGTCAAGACATTCTCGTTTTCTATACCCTTTGACCACAAGTCTTGCCTTATTTTTGTCAATAGTGTCATTATCTTTCATTTTCCTCTTAAAGATCCATTTAGAACCTAACGGTTTATTTTCAGGAGGAAGATCAACCAATTCCCATGTATGGTTGTTCAATATGGATTCTATTTCACTATTGACTGCCTCTTTCCATAACAATGATGCCGAAGAAGACATAGCTTCTTCAAATGTTTGAGGCTCATTTTCCAATAAGAAAGTCACAAAATCTGGTCCAAATGAAGTAGACGTTCTTTGACATTTACTACGTCCTGGATCCTCCTGGTTCAGTGTACTTTCTTTTATTTCTTCCGAGGTCATTTAGATCTGTTGCCAATCGACTCACATTCCTTTTTATATGGATATATATTTTCAAAGAACTCAGCATTATATGATTCTATAACCGTATTATTATGAATGTCGGGATTTTTTGATTTATGAATCAGAAATCGATATGCTTTACTATTAGTCGCATATCCTATGAAAATACAATCAACGGTTTTCGATCCTATAAACTTGCACTTTTGCCAAACACCCCCACACTTTAAAATAATTCAAGTTGGGCTTCCTTCCTTTCTATTT